AATAACGAAGTAATTTATATTTTGATTTAATAATATATTTTTTATAAAAATAATAATTAATTATTTAATTAAAACTCAATAATTATCGTAATTATATTTTAGATTTTAAAAAGAGATGTTTATTCTCTATTTGATTATTTTTATCCATAGTTAGTTACACAAATTCAAACATAAAACTTGAATAAGTTGTTTTTACGCATATTTTACGTATAATCTTAAATTTTAAGTAATATGTATTAATAAATAATACTTTATGTATTAAAAAATAATTTTTAAAATTTTTTGTCAAATATTTTATAATATAATATACATATATAAAAAAATTCTTTATTGAAATGGAAAAAGACGAATATAAAAGAAAAGTCGAAGGTTTGCACCGTACAATGTGGGTGCAGTTGAAATGACTATCTCCATTAAGGAGTGGACAGAATTCTGGTTCACGAACTTTAAAGCATGTTATTATATTTTTTAAATAATTTATATATCTATATTAAAGCAGAAAACAAAGTTGGTAACTGGCTTATCTGGAAACTTATTTATTTATTTTTTCATTCATTTTTCTTTAAATTTTTTTTAATTTATATAAATTTTGATTATTTATTTATGTTTGCATTTAACACAATCTTTTCATTTTCCCTAACTTTTTTTTCATAAATTATTCATCATTCAATCTATTTTTCTCCATCTCCATCACTTGATTTGTTTTTCATTTCATTTTTCTCCATCTCCATTACTTGATTTGTTTTTCATTTCATAAATTGTTATTTTTCAACAAATCTATTTTCAAGTTTATTTCGAGAAGACTAATTCAGGTATGCGTTCCTTTTTATTTTTGTTGAGATTTTAAAATTTTGTTTTTTTTACTTTTCTCTTCTATGATTTTTCTAAGTTTTCTCAATAAAACGGAGAGTTTGTTTTTGACAACACTTTTAGAGTTTTCATGGCAACAATGGTTCGATTAATCGTCAGATGATAGAATCTTGAAAGTATTACAAACCATGATGTAGCCTCAACAAATTTCAATATATTTTTGTAATGGTCATCTTTTTTCAAGTATACTTTGAGAAAACTAATGTGTGTATGCATTCCTTTTGACTTTTATTGAGATTTTTGAAGTTTTTTTGTTACATTATTTATGTAGCATCACCAAACTTCAACATTTCCTTTTTTAATGGTTATATTTTTTTCACGTTTATTTCTAGACGATTAATCCGAGTATGCAATTCTTCTTAATTTTGTTAGGATTTTACATTTTTCTTAAGTTTTTTTTCCAATAGAACCAACAATATGTTTTAGCAATTGTTTTAGAATTTGGTTGACAACAATTATTTCTCATGGAATCTTGAGAAACCAAGTTTAATGAAAAACCATCTTTCATATTCATCTTTTATTTTCTCATTCTTATTTTACATTAAAATGTTTTCAACATACAATTGTTGAAACTTTTTTTTTCAAATTCTATTTATTTTAAAATATTTTCAACCGCATTAATCGTTAAAAGATTTCATTTTTGTAATTTAAATAATCTATATATATATATATTAAACGAGAAACCAAGGTTGATGACTTGACCTCTCCTAAAGGTTGGAAGCTTATTTTTTTTTCATTCATCCTCCTTTAATTTTTTTTAATTTCACATTTTAATTTTTATAAACATTGATTATTCATTTATGTTTGCATTTAATACAGTCTTTTCATTTTCCCTAATTCTTCTTCATAAATTGTTCTTTATTCAATTTCTTTTTCTTTATTTCCATCTCTTGATTTGTTTTTCATTTCATTTTTCTCCATTTCCATCATTTGATTTGTTTTTTATTTCATTTTTCTCCATCTCCATCACTTGATTTGTTTTTCATTTCATAAATTGTTATTTTTCCACAAATCTATTTTCGAGAAGACTTATTCAGGTATGCGTTCCTTTTTATTTTTGTTGAAATTTTAGAATTTTGTTTTTTTTACTTTTCTCTTCTATGATTTTTCTAAGTTTTCTCAGTGAAAATGTGAGTTTGTTTTTGACAACACTTTTAGAGTTTTCATAGCAACAATGGTTCGATTAATCGTCTGATGATAGAATCTTGAAAGTATTACAAACCATGATGTAGCCTCAACAAATTTCAACATATTTTTGTAATAGTTATCTTTTTTCAAGTATACTTTGAGAAAACTAATGTGTGTATGCATTCCTTTTGACTTTTATTGAGATTTTTGAAGTTTTTTGTTACAATTTTTCATGTAGTATAACCAAACTTCAACATTTCCTTTTTTAATGGTTATATATTTTTTCAGGTTTATTTCGAGACGATTAATCCGAGTATGCAATTCTTCTTAATTTTGTTAGGATTTTACATTTTTCTTAAGTTTTTTTTTTCAATAAAACCAACAATATGTTTTTAGCAATTGTTTTAGAGTTTGGTTGACAACAACTATTCAAAATGGAATTTTGAGAAACCAAGTTTAATGAAAAACCATCTTTCATATTCATCTTCTTATATATATATATATGTATATATATATATATATATAGAGAGAGAGAGAGAGAGGTAGATGTTTTACAAACTCAACTATTAGTAAAAATCATACAAATAATTGAAATATTTATAAAAATAATATGAGTTTATTTTTTATGATCTGGATATTTATGGAAGATTATCAAAGTTTATTTATTATGATCAAATTTTATATTAGAAAACAATCGAGATATTCATTGAATCAGATATTTTCATTAGAGTCAATGAATAGTTTGAGATTGTATTATATGATTTATACTTATGATTGAGTTTGTAAATGAAACATCCTATACATATTTTAAAGAAAAAAGTAAGACAAAAATGAAGAAAAAGACTATATTGCCCCTCATTTAAAAGGAGGGACTAATTTTATAACGTTTTTACAAACAACAATGGTTAATATGTGGTTTTTAAACTGTAGGAAAACAATAAAAATGAAAATAAAAATAAAAATAAAAATAGGGGAAATATTTAATTCACTCTTATAAAACAACCATCCAATTATTTAAAATGTGATATTAATTTTATAGGATATTATTAGAAGAATATGGGGCCCACCAAGCAAGGGTAGCAAAGTCGGTATTTGATTCAATGCTACGAAATCTGAAATTGGGTGAAGAAAATGAATGTTGCTTGTCACCTTCAACTGGGATCTTGAGGGTGTATAGATATCCAAGGTGCTATTCTGACAACCCACCAAAAGTATGGGGGTTGGATGTGCACACTGATAGTTCTTTGGTGACCATTTTGAATCAAGATGAGGTTGGAGGGCTTCAAATTAATTCTGAGAAAGATGATGCTTGGATAGATGCCAAACCTATTCCCAACACTCTACTGGTTCATCTTGGTGATATGATGCAGGTTTGTTAACTTTATACTTTTCCCCCTCTTTCTTTGCTCAATTTACATTTTCTACCCTCAAATCATAAATCATTTTTATCTTTCGTCCCTTGAAAGCTACTTTTTTGTTTTAACAACTCAATTATTGCATAAATGAATGGCGTTGCTCCAAATTTTGGTGTGGTTTGACATCAAATTTGATATTTGGTGCAAGATAGGTCCAGTGTTCTCAATGGAGATGGTCTTACTTGTATTCGAGAAAAATGGATCATTTCTAATCATAAATTCAGTACTTGTGCTTAATATATGACTATGAAATTGTAAAAATTGGAAAGAAAGTGTCACTCGAAAAATCGACCTGCTTTGATGTTCTTTGAAAATTATATGATTTGTATATTTTGTTACGCATAGTTTAAAGTTTTCTTTCTTATAATCTTAAGAATACTTTTTTTCCCTGTAACTTATAATACCTTATTGCATATTTTAATATTTGGTTTTTAATTTGTTTTTCCTAATGTATTATGTTCATATATTTAAAAATTGATTTGATTGAATTTAGGCAATAAGCGATGACAAATACAAGAGCGTGAAACACAGGGTGAAGGTGCATAAAGACAAGGAGCGGATTTCAATTGGATACTTTGTGTTCCCGGGGGATGATTATGTGATCCGAAGCTCCATTTACGAACCTTTTACTTATTCGGATTTTAGGACCCAAGTCCAACATGACATCAAGGCCTTGGGAGCCAAGGTAGGACTTTCAAGGTTCAAACTCAACAAGGACAACGACTTCTAATTTTAGATCGTAGTTTGTTTTCGGTTGTCGTTTCTTGTAGTTTGGGGACATAACAACAGCTTGGTGAATGTGAATGGCAATGTTTCTTGAAGGGTTAATGCGGCTTACATGTCTTGTAATTCTTCTTGAAAGTTTGCCACCATGGATCAACTGAATTCTTGCCAGGAAAACTGAAAAGTTCCCAAAAATGATGAACATATTGAAAGATAAATGTGTCATCGTCAAAAAGACGTGAGAATAGAGATAGATATAAACTTTAAAGTTATATATGGATTAAACTCCTTTCAGTGCTTATCATTATCTCAATGTAAGACTTGTTTAAAAGGCTTATGATTAATGAAAATTTAAAACTTTCATTCCATTCAATTCATTGTCTCTTTAACAGAACTCAATCACTCCAATTTTTGGACATAAACATTTGCTAAAAGATTTTACTATCACCTTGAAGGCTAAGTTAACAGGCAAATAAAGGCTGGCTTTAGGGCTCCTCACCATAGGTTGCGGGTTTGAACCTCCTAGGGCCATTGGATGTTTTCTAGCCTATTATCTTAAGGGCCTTGTGAGATATATTGAGTTGTGCACACGTTTGACCTAGACACCTATGGTTAAAACTTGTAACCTTAGTGTATTTAGCCATTCTCAGCTCTTTTTATACGTCTGGACTCGAGTGGGCTAGTAGGGCTCTGTTTGCCAAGCTCGTTGATAAGTTGGTTGTTTACTGAAAATCTAGTTGACAAACTAGTCTCATTTGATAAAAACTATTCGATAAAGTAGATGATAAATATAAAATAACCTAAAAGTACGTGATAAAAAAGTACTCAATTCTAATATTACACAACATATTTAAAACAAAACTCTAGTACGTTTCATCATATTAAAATAAGTAGTAACAAACTCCCTCCTTGGATGAGCACTTGCTTAGTCAAGTAGAACCGGATTGCGTGGCTCATATGAAATACAAAAGGACAACCTCACACCAGACATCCTGCTTTAACTTCCCAGCCCCAATTGATTTACCATCTAGGTGGGCGCTATGTTCTCTGAACAATTTGGGAGGCCGCAGATCAAACCCTTAGTTCAGTGCCGGGTTTCATAAGTACTCTCGACTGGTTTCTAGTGCTTTTTTATCTCTGTGCATTTAGCTGGTAAAACAAGGCCTCGGCAGATGGGAACCCTACAAAAAAGCAAGGTTGTTAGAGCCTGTTACCAAGATTATAGATCTATTGAACGAGTAATGAATAAAACAACCTATAAAATTCATACCATATATTGTATCAAAAACTTGGCGAAGGATCATGTGAGAAGGAGAGTTAAGGTGGGAAGCATAAGAAATGATCTAGACCCTTGATCACCTTTAATTTCAAACCAACCTATGAATCTTGTTTGATACGGGGATTGATCCGATGCATCTCATCCTAATGTGTATCCAAGGGTGAAGATTCCTTTTTACGTTTCTCACCTTAACTCTCATTCTCATCAGAACTCAACTCTCAAAAACTTCACAAAGTAGAACAACAAACATATCTTAAAATGACAAATTACATACGATTTTTTCTTAAATAGAATCATTTTTCAAACATTCTTCGAAGCAAACTCTTCAATTAGTTCTTTCATAATCAACTTTCTCTAATAAATCATCAAATTGAAAGGATTAGCATATAGGAGTTTATCAACCGTTGTTACCTCAAATTCTAGAAAAACCCGGGCTCAATTCTAGGGCTGAATTCTCCCTTAACTCTAAACTTTTATGTATATTTCTAAAGGGATACAATGCTATGAACAATGGTATTCATTATCACAATGAATGAAGTCAAGAAAATTGCATGTGAGAGTGTTCATCAAACAAGAAAGGGAGAAACAGAGAACAAGAAAGAGGAATATTATTAAACAAAGTCGTGTTTGATACTTCAATTATAAAATTAGGCATCAGGGAAATTAAGATAAATGAGACTAGCAGACTAAGAGGGGTCAGTCGTCAAATCAGGGATTGTAGATTTGCAGTTGCAATAAGGGACATGCAAAAGAGAGAAGGAATTAAATCACTTAACTAAACAACTAAACCATTATACTTGCCTAACCGGATTCAAATAAGTGGGAGAAGCCCGAATGGATTAAAGTTAAAAATCAAAACATAATCAAGCCCCAAAAAATCAACAACTACTAAGTCTAATACAACTGGTTCTCATCCCACTAAACAGATTGAGCAACTGAAAACAACCAAACTAGTTGAATGCAATCATGACTAGCTATAGAACATGATTATACATTCTTTTTTCCATTGTCATTAACAACCATTCCTTTTCTTGAGAACATTATAAACGTATCGTGTAAAAAAATCATGACATCACATATATCATCTTATATTTTATAGTGTCAAGACGTGGTAATATACATGTAAACAAACATCATGTTGTTATAAACACTTCCGTAAAGAAAGTGCGATGAAATATATTTTTTATTCTCAGTGGAGGTGGTGGCAGTGTTACGGTAAAGTAATATAGTCTTTTATTCTCGATGGAATTGAAACTTTTGGGAACATGTAAGGAATGGAGGATTTCTTGATTTGTGGATCCAAATCCATTTGATACATGCCATTCCACCCCTTAAAATGAACCAAATGATGGAATGGAACTTGGTCAAAGGATGTGTTCATTCCAATTTTCATTTCATTCCAGCAAACCAAATTCTTTTTACCAGTATTGTTTCATCTATTTGATTTTTGTTATATCTATTTTGATGAAGAAAGACCATTTTTGTCTGATTCAACTATACTCTAATAGAATCTAGCCGTTGCTAAGCTTTTCTTGACTCTACTTTACAACTAAATTGATCAGGGATGTTTGCAGTGCAATGCGCTTCAGATCCAAAGTTACAAACCTTTTCTGTAAGTCGCATTTTAGAATCGTGAGTACAATTGTGGGTTTGGGATGTTACAAATGGTATCAGAGCAGGGAATCGGTCCGGCATGCGAACGAGGACGCTGGCTTCCTGAGGGGGAGTGGATTGTGAGATCCCATATCGGTTGGGGGAGGGAAACAAGTGTTGCCTTGTAAGGACCAGATACCTTCTCTATTTTTAAAACCATGAGTTCAATTGTGGATAAAAATAGATAATGTCTAGTACTGTTGGCACGGGATAAGATGTTCATCTATTGACATCCATTAGATGTGACATGACTGAACATATCCAATCTTCCATTGGATTTTGTCAACCGATCCAATGGGTGATTGGATGGTTCAGTTCCATCTATTGGATAATATTATTGGATCAGATCGATCTGATATCCGAGTGGATTGCATCTAATTAATGGGTTAATTCAATCTAATTTTTCAACAATGAAAGGAATTGATTAATCACTTTTAGTATGTGCTAAAACCAACAAAAACAAGGATAAAAATTTCAAAAACCAATACAAAAACAAATTTTAATTCAAGCAAATTGAAAACAAATTAATCGGATAATAGTTAGATTGATAATTGAATGGTGGTTGGTTGGATTGAGTCGGTTTTGGTCCATTCTGGATTGTCATCCAAGAATTAACCGATCCAAATTGGATGTTAAAGTTTTCTATCCGATTCGATTCAGTTACAATTGGATATCAAATTATGGACGGTCAGTTATAATTGATTGGATCGGTTGACTTTTGCACACCACTAGCAGGGGATATTAATTGACCTCTTCTCTCAAAAAAGACGATGTGCAGGCAAATAGATCGAAGTCGGAGCAGGGAGGGAGAGTAGGACTTTTCATTTGCTGTTGGGTATTTTGATTAAGTTCACATTCATCACTTAATTTGCTATCTGTTGTTCAATTCCATGCATAAAATGCTAGGGCTTCTTAATCTTTGTTCAAGAAATGCAACATTCTATTTTGGGGGTAAATAAGCATTCATCAAAATGCTTGCTTTTTAGGTTTCTATGTTGTTTAAAATGAAAATTTGGTATGCTTACTGATGAAAGATATTCAGATTTGACGTGTCGCAGAAGAGTCTCCAGGTGATTGATCGAAAAAACCAGACAAATACGATCATATCTTGTACGATGATCATTCCAGTCTTGTTTTCAATCACAACGACTGGTTTTCTTTCTGGATTTGGGAGGATGAGTTGAGGGAGGGCCCAAGTTTAGAGCATTCAGTTTTCTTTCGAATGGCCAATTCTTGTTTTGGTGAAATACGAGTTGAAGGTTAAAGAGTGGGTGTGCAAAACAAACTCAAGTGAAGTAGAAAACGCATCCAGCTTTACAATAAACATTACATTACATACATCAAATGCTACCAGTCTATGAACATCGATACATTTGAGTTATTCACACAGCTTAAAACCACACGACGAGCTATCACACGTTACCCACTCGTCTAGTAAAAATATGCTACTTATTCAACGCTGCTAGCTCTGAATCACCACCCCGGGAGTCGCAATATCCATCATCCTCGGCATCTTATCCATGATGTTTGCACTAGCAACAGGAACTGCATTCTGCTTGTATGCATCATTATGAACCCCGAGTGCAGCCCTTCCTGAAGGGTCAAGATTCTTCGACCATGACGCGTCCCACTCGATTGCTTTCTCGGTACTGCAAGCGATGCTCGCTCCACCTGGGACGGTTAATTTCGCCGGATTCTGGGAAAAAAAAACACCATTAGGGTTACATCAATTATTGCACAAGTTACAAGTCATAGTGCACCTCAAGGCGGAAAATAGCCTCTCGACTCTCTAATCCTTGGGGCAGAGGAAAGATCGGCATACTTTCGAGTGAGACATACCTAATTTCTTTACGGCGTCCAAGTTTCCTCTACCCCTTGAGCAGAGGAAAGGTTTTCCTCTACGTATATATTACCCCTTTCAGCCCCTACAACCCAATTTCTTTTGGGGATCAAAGTTTCCTATGCCCCTTGGGTAGAGAAAAGATCTGTGCATATCATATCCCTTATGGATCCTACATTCGAGTGAGATATGCTAGGTACGTTTGATCTGGTTATTACGACTAAATGCGATGAGAATTAAGAACTTACCTGAGGGAAAAACCGCTCAAATATCATTCGATAGTAGTAGGCTTCCTTTGTGACCGGAGTATTGTGAGGGAAGATATGCTCTGCGTTAAGCATCATCTTGTCGGTAACCTGCAGATACCTTAACGGGTTAGTGTTGTTAAATAAAAAACCCAACACCAGGGGATCGGGGATATTTACATGTAATTTGGCATGAGCTTTGAGTCCATCGATCCAGCTATACCCGACTCCATCACTGAACTGTTCTTTTTGACGATACAAAATATGCTGCACGGGCGTCATAAAAACATGTTAAAACAGTGAACTTGTGTTGTTTTTATGAAAAAAAACAGTTACTTTAACGACCTTTGGCAAATACGGATGTTCTTCATCTTCGAAGGCCCGTCTAAGAATCCATTTTTCGATCCGTTTTTGTTCCATATTGATCTGCATATAAGTTCGTCAATCTCGGTGCCACTAACTCATCATACAACAAACAAACTCAAGTTCTTACCATTTTAGCTTCAGGGTCGATGCTCATCGCCACGTTGATGAATTCTTTATCCAAAAACGGGACTCGGGTTTCCAAACCCCAGGCGGATGTCGACTTGTTCGCTCTCAAGCAATCGTATTGGTGAAGTGCTTTTATCTGCATTATGTATATCAGGATTACAAAAAGCTCGAAGGGGAAAATAGTGCTAGTTTGATGGTCCACGAAAGCGATGTTACCTTGCGACAGGTTTCGCGATGGAACTCTTCCTTGTTCGGTGCCTTGTGGAAGTATAAGTAGCCACCAAATATCTCATCGGAGCCTTCACCGGAGATTACCATTTTCACGCCGAGCGACTTGATCTTTCGCGACATCAGAAACATCGGTGTGCTTGCCCTGATCGTAGTCACGTCGTACGTTTCGATATGGTAAATCACATCTTCTATTGCATCGATACCATCCTACAAGATTCAAAAACCAAACAAAATTCTGAAAAACAGAAACCGATCTAAAATCCCAACGTAAATGGCCTTCTATGAAGTTATTGGCCGAAAACGGGCCCATTTAACAGATTAATTTACTCCCGTTCAGACAGTTTAATTTATTTACCTGTACAGTGAAGTGGAACTCATGATGAACAGTGCCCAAATAATCAGCAACTTCTCTTGCTGCCTTGAGATCCGGCGAACCCTGATTATACGACCAAGATCTTCATCAATTTCTGTGAAACCAACCAATATAAAGTTTCCAAATATACCCTTGTGACCCAAAGATTACCTCAAGACCAACGCAGAAGGAATGAAGCTGAGCTCCCCATTGCTTAGCTGCCTTTGTACCGGATAAATGACGAGCCGTAATAGACGCGACTAACGACGAATCTAGCCCACCCGACAACAAAACCCCAAAGGGAACATCGGTCATTAACCTCTTAATCACGGCCTGCAGTTTCATGTTACAGTTCCCTTAGTACTCGATCATCTAATATATATATGTTCGGCAAACCGTATATAAAAAAGAAACTAAATCTCACGTTTTCAAACGCGCCCCTTAGAACGAGCGGATCATATGGGGTCGACGGAATAGCCTCCGAGAACCATGGAGGGTTGTACCACCGCCTGAAACCGGCAGTTTTGCTCGAGTACAAGTGGCCGGGAGGAAACGCCTGAAAATGCTCGCAATCATCGTTCAAACCTTTCAGTTCCGATGAAATCCAAACCGAACCTAGAGAACACAACCATAATTACTCATTTAATCCACAAACATTAATCTCGATAAAGAAACACGTTAATCAACAAAATCGTTTAATAATCACCATCGAGTCCCCAACCAATGTAGAGCGGAGTGATCCCGATAGCATCACGAGCAGCGATATAAGTGTTATCGCGAGTATCCAGTAACACGAACGAAAACATTCCGTCCAACATATCCACGAAGTTTTCACCATGCTCTTCGTACTACAAAACATTAATAACCTCAATTACGTTCAAACCCACAAATCTAAACCATCAATTACATCTAAACCCATAAATTCAGAGCATAATTTTAGGGTTCAATCACATCTGAACCCAGAAATTCGAAGCATAATTTCATAAAACTCTTCACAATGACTCACTAAATGCGCAATAACATCACAATCACTGCCGGTTTTGAACTTGTGACCAGTCAAGCTTTTCCGGAGATCCTCGTGGTTGTAAATCTCGCCGTTAACCTGCATTTCCGACCAATTTCCGACCTCAAAATCGAACGAAATAACATGTTACTAATTGTGCTTAGTTAATTAATTAATCAATGCCGTCATTAACGTCATTCGACTCACCGTTACAACAATCGTTTCATCTTCGTTAAAAAGGGGTTGATCACCGGAAGCAGGATCGATGATGGCGAGACGTTGATGCGCCAGATAACAATCACCGTGCTGGTACAGACCACTCCAATCGGGGCCACGATGCTTCAATCTGTACATCAATCAACATCAAAAACACGAAAACGTTTTAGAAAATGGAATCAATCTCCTGGTTATTTATTCAAAACTTCGACTATTGGTTTTTTAAGAAAACTATAAATGAAATCGGAGAACATGCCTGCGAGAAAGCTCGAGGACACGAACCCTTTTGGCCTGAGAATCGTCGGAGCAACCCAACACAGCTAGTATTCCACACATGGCTACCGTGCAACTAACGATGCAGAGATTACCGTCAATGAATGCAGAAGAAAAGGAAGAAGGGGAAGAGAGGAAGATGATCGGAAAGGAGTAAAATGTGGTCGTTGAGAACGAATTTGTTGGTTATGATCACCATTTCATTCGCCGCGAATTTATAGACGATTTCCGGCAACTGGTCCCACCGCCTTTTTTTATTTTTATTATTATATTCCATTTATTATATTGATCATAAGCGGCGACGTTTCTCACTGTTTTCTTATTTTATTTTATTTTCTTTAAATATTATTTTAATTTTCTGTTTTATGATCCTTGTTTGTATGTTATGCATTACTAATTGTACCAAGGTTTTGTTGTTGTTTTTTTTTTTCTATTTTACATACGTCAATAAAACAATTTATCAGTTAGATATTTAAATAGTATCTTACCCGGATTTTTTGCATAACAAACGTCGAATCTCATAAATCCTTGATCTTTTTTGTTAACCACGAGTGTTCGAGTCATCTTAAACAAATCTCAGAGCACCTGGAGAATAACCAGGACTCAAAACCGATGATCTCTGAGGAGAATTATCAAAGATACAAACGTTATAACCAGTTGAGTCAACCACACAAGGTTTAGATCAAAGAATTTAATAGTTATGGTATGTGTTCTCGTTCATAGATGATCATCTTCCGTCAATTTATTAATTATTAAAACCGAGTCGATCACAAAATTAAAATTTTGATTTGGATGACAAATTTATCAAAAATGAAATAAGTAATGCAACGAAAAAGACTAAATTGGTTATGGAATATTCTTTAAGGTGCATTTGGTATATAAACGGAACTAGACTAGACTAGTATGAAAAAATTGTGCGAGATTTTAGAGCATCTTCAGCATGTATGCTATATTTTCTTTTCTTTTTTCCTTTCCAAATTTAAGGATTTCTGCATTTTTTTTTTTTTTTTTTTTTTGCGTTTTAGATGAAAGTTTAACATAGTTGTTAAAGCAAACTTTTTCCGAATTTTTCTAAAATTTCATAGTTGTTGGAAATGTTGATGTTATAAGAGTGGTTTATTAATTTATCAATCATATCTCATCTTCATGATTTTTGTTCCACGTATCAGTTATGTCATATGTTAGTCTAAATGTCGTATAAAATTTAAGACGACATATATTTGTTTTGTCATTTTCTTAATCAGTTCGCATACCAAACAGACATTTAAATATGTGTAATTTAAAAAAGGAAATTCACCAGATTTCCTACTATTTGTATGGAAAAATAATTTCATCTAAGGAACTATACGTACATAGATAGGATATTCTTGAAATATACTTGGTTTTTACATTGACTTGTACTTTATGCATTACCAATACCAGCTGTGTATATCTATATATATATTCTTTTGGTTAAAAGTTACATTTAACACCATTCAAATTCATTAATGACAAAAAAGTCCCTGATGTTTGTATTCAGCTCTAGCTTAATTCATCGATTTCGAGCTTTGAGATTCACCTCCACCAAGAAAATCGAAATTCAAAGACTCCCGTCTTCTAAAACATGCAAAAATAATACTTAGAGGCAACAGATACGTGTGAACTTTAATACGAACCGAATTACGTTGAATTGCCAACCCTTTTTTGTCATTTTTTTAATTTATTAAATAATTATTCTATAACACCATTATTATAAGATATATTATTAAAATAATAATATAATTATAGCCTTAAATTTATTAATTCTTGAATTTTTAATTTTTTGGCCTAACCTTTCATATAGTTGAAAGGAAAGACTACACAACCCATATCCCTATGATTTGAAATTGTGAGGAAAAGATCTTAACCGTTAAATAGAGAGAATGATAAAGGGTCATTTTATATATCGTAGGATATTTCTTTTCTGTTACTTTTAATAAATATTGAATGGCTTAGATCTTTTGATAAAAAGGATAATATGCACAGGCATACAGTCGGCATATAAGTCGCATGTGTATGAATTATTTATATGTGAAAGACGTGTATCATATGTCTATATATTAATTTTTTTTATAGCATTTTGTTTTAATATTGACGTAATTTACATAAACATCAACGAGTTTTTGTGTATTGTGATATTGACATCTTGTATTTTTCTTGACATTTTTCTTTTTTCTTTTTAAGATATTACAAAAATACAATTTATATATATATATATATATTTATTTAATGATGATAATATTTTAAGTTATTTTATGACATCATTCTAATTTAATAAAATAAAAACTTAAGGATTGTCAAGTTGTAAAATAATTGACGTATTTTATATTAGAGTAAAAGATTCGGATTTAGACATCTTAGTTTTTTTAGTAAGTTACCTTTTTGGTCCATGTAATTGTTACTAGGGGTGTTTATGGGTTGGGTTGATCAGATTAAAGATATTTGAACAACCTAACTCAATATCTGCGGTTTGAAAAATCTTAATCCAATCGAATTAAAATCAAAGTGCAATTCAACTCAACCCAAACCGTACGGGTTAGTCGGGTTGATACTTTGATACATTAAAATATTATTATAACCTTGAATAGATTGAAAATATGTGTATATGAAAAACGTACATGATAGTGTAATTGTGTAATGTATATATTAATAGAAATTCAACAATCATATTAAATCCAAGAAATAAAAAGATATCGGATTAATCTGTTTGTTGGGTTGAGTTCAAATGATAGTAACTCAATATCAACCAAATACCTACAGTTTGAAAATTTTATAACTCGATTAGACATCGAGTTGCTTCGGGTTGAGTTATTTCGTGTTGAATTAGGGTTGATTGATCGGGTTGGTCGGATTTTTGAGCACCCGTAATTGTCACTCAATATCATGTCTAGTCATTATTTTGAATTTGTTACACTTTTAATTACTATGGTTGTCATTTTGTTTTACTTTTTGTCTCAAACTAACTTTTGTTAGAAATAGAGTTATAACATATTTATATTAATTTCCTTTAAAAAAGTAATGAATATATATTATCGTTATTAATATATTATATAAAGAGGGCATTTTGGTCTTTTTTGTATAACCATTATTGGTAAAAATTAACTATTACTAATATTAATTGTAGCATCTTATGCAACCATACCAGATATTGTCTTTTTTGTCCATACACCTGAACTCATTGTTTTAAAAGGCATATATGGTAGATGAGATATCCAGTTTCTTAGAGCATCTCCAACAGCTTTTCTAAAATAGAGAAAAGTGAGTTTTTGTTCTTTAAAATGCTTCAACAGTTTTGCTATCTTGTTCTTTAAAACAGAGAATAATGGAAAAAACTCTAAATATAGAAAATTCTCTAAAACTTAATGGTGGGAGAGAAAAATAATTATTTTATTCAATTCCACCAATGAGATTGAGTTATTATTTTTTATAAAAAGTTTAAAAAAAAAGTGTATTGACATGATAAATTAGAGAATGTTATAATAATATAACTTATGTTAAAATCTCTAAAATAGAGAATCTATGGGAGATGAATGCAACTCTTTTTAGAATATTTTTGTTTTCATTCTCTATTTTAGAGAAATTATAGAAAAGTTGTTGGAGATGTTCTTATAAGACAACTTTTGTTTTCATCCCAACCAATATGAGATCTCACAATCCACCCCCACTGAGGGCCCAACATCCTCCTTGACATACCAATCTGATTCCGGACTCTATACCATCTGTAAAATCTCAAAACTCAAAGCAACAATATGATCAATAACATCGGATCCAACTTAAAACCATGATAGAAATTAGTGGTAATCTACTACTTAAAGTTTATAAATAGCTAGCATCTCTCACTTTTTATTCATATGGGATTAGTTGTTACATTAATAAATATTGATTTTTAAATCAATATTAAATAAAAATTATTAATTAATTTTAATTATACATTATATATTAATATTAATTATTTAGAATTATTATTATTGGGTCTTATTAGATGTATTTAAGAAAATGAGGGTGCCTTTAAAATATCCCGATTATTAATCATATCTATTTTGTTAATAAAATAA